ATCCATCCATCCATCCATCCATCCATCCATCCATCCATCCATCCATCCATCCATCCATCTATTCGTCTTTATCTTGTATGTTGACATTTTTGTTCAATTTTCAAAGTAGTATAATTCTAATAGTAATTTTGCATTGTATGAAATATGAGAAAGAAAAATATCCTGTGCAGGTGATTTTTCACATGCAACTGCCTTAATCCTCTATAAAGTTAATGAAATGATAACAATGTTCATTTGGAATGCAGGCAAAAAATGTATACATTCAAATCAAACGATCATAAAATTACATCATTAACCAATGTATGAAGCAAGACCCATCCATCCATCCATCCATCCATTATCAATACCGCTTATTCCCTCATGGGGTCGCGGGGGGAACTGGAGCCTATCCCAGTGGTCAACGGGCGAGAGGCAGGGTACACCCTGGACAGTCCCCAGTCCATCGCAGGGCAACACACAGGACACACAAGGACAAACAACCACTCACACTCACATTCACTCCTAAGGGCAATTTCCCCAATTTCCAATCAACCTAACATGCAGGTTTTTGGACTGTGGGAGGAAGCCGGAGAACCCGGAGAGAACCCACGCAGACACAGGGAGAACATGCAAACTCCACCCAGAAAGGCCCTGGTTCCCCCGGGATTCGAACCCAGAACCTTTGAAGCAAGACCCAATGTCCACTAAACTGATTTTTGAGAAAAAAAAGCTTGATTTAGTTTCTTGAAACCATAACACTTAAAATGTCATAATCCTGAAGGTGTATTCCTGAGATGGGATTGTAGAAATTAAGCCCATCTCTACAGTTTTAGGGTGCTCGTACTCCCCTGGAATGGGGGTCTCTACAGAGAGGAAAACCTCTGGATAAGGACCCACATGTAGACGTGGATCACGGGGGACGTAGGGACTAAAACTGACATTTCTTTAAAAAATACAATCACAAAAGCCTGAGCATGACAAAACCCAGAAGACAAAAAGGTGGACGAGAGCAAAAGTCACAAGGGAGGGAGGGACTTTAGGGAGGACAGACGGAGGACAGGAGCAGACCTATTGATGGCGGGTGGACGTGGATGGGGAGCTCTGATGCAGCGCGTGTTGTTCAGGGAGCTGAGACAGACAGCGGGGAGCACAGGTGATGAGAGCTGAGTTAATGACCGGGATGGAAAAGTACTGAGGACTCTACGGGTGACGGCAGCAAGAAAACATAGGAGGAAAGGACAGGAAACGGAGAGGAGACACCACAATAAAATAGGAAATAGATCACATTTAAGGGACTAAGGAAAGGAACTAAGAAACTCTGACAAAGTAGAGCTATGGAAAAAGGAACTAAATTAAGAACAAAGAAAGAAGACAGTCAAACAGTCAAATCAAAACTAGAGGGAAAACTCAACCGAGATTAAGTCAAATAAACTAGAAACCTCGGCACTCCAAGCATGAAAAATAAAATGTGATATCTGAGCTGTAAACTGGTGAAGAGCAGTTTTCCCACAAATCATCAGCAGGTGTGTGTGATTCTCGGCCTTCCCCCCGTTTGAGCGTAATCGGGCAAATGATTGAACCCCGTGTTTTCTACCGATTCCTCCACTGGTGTGTGAGTGCTTAAGGCATGGTGTGTAAAGAACGTGTGGATGGACGCAAGCGGTTTGTAGTGTAAAAGCATTTTGAGTTCCATTTTCTGTGACTGGACCATCTTTATCCGAACAGTATATATTTTACTGTTTTACAGCGAAACGTCGTGATGTGTGCTGGTCATTCTGAGTACTTCAGTCTGTCTGAGACGTTCGTCCTTAAAGAGAGGAAACACTTTATCATCCTTTACATGTGAACTGAGATAATGTTGATAATCACTGTTGGTAAAAAACGTTTCACTCAGAATTTAGACGGATAAATGTCTTTTGACACTAGTGGAAAAGTCAGTCAAATCTGTATAATTGATCATTTTGGAGCAAAACCTGAATTGGTTAATGTTGTCCAGGACAAAGCTGCATTGGTAAAAACATTATTTTTTAAATCCACAGGTTAGAGTTGCCCTCCAGCTGCTTGTTGCGGTAGAAACATTTGATCATAAGTCCGTTGTCGGCTGGTGTCCTTGTTGCGAGCGGCATTTTTCACCTCCCTCCCAGCGAGCTGGGCTTCTGGGGACCTCGGCGTTATCCATTTTTAACGTAAAACAAAGCGGGTCAGGCAGGTAAAGTAGGCCAGCGCACAGCTGAGGCCGCGAATCCCCCCGGCGCCGGCACATGCTCGAGTGCTGGACGCGTTGCTGCCCTGCCAACCGCTCCCCGGAGACACCCCACATGTGGAGACAAGGCACGTTTCTGCGCGGGGAATGCAATCAATACGCTCCATCTAAGCCACCAGCTCCTTCCTGTTTCTGAAATAATGCCTGGAGACCGATACAATCTTCTTCTCTTCCATTTATCAAACAGCTTGTGTCATTCATACTCATTTTCTTGACACAATTCAGCTCCATCATTTAGAGTTTTAGGCTGTCCAACATAACATCCTTTTGGCCCTATTGATTTATTTGACTGTTTTTTGTTGTTGTTGTTTTAAACCTGTAGAAAGCTTAACTGAGAACCAGCTTGGGTTGTAAGTGCAGTTTAATTTTATGCAACTACTTTTTGTAGAGTTGTTAAAGACTTACATAAGTAAAGATGAATCCCTCATAAAATGTATAATGCACCATCTAGTCAGAAGTGGTAGTTTTTCTGAGGCAAACCATTAATAAATAGCTAGGTTTTTAAAAATATAATAATAAGGGAGGAATTTAAGATGGAATAAAATTTCAATGTGGCCCAATGAACAATGCATTTGATGGATGGATGGATGGAATTATTATTATTATCATTTATTTGTGGTGAGACTTGCCTCAGTCCTGTTACCCATCCTGACAGACCGGGGGTCAGAAAGTCCAGGAGCCCTCCAGGTGAGAGCACTTCATCCCGATGGCTAGTGCTAGCGGTCAGCGGTGGTTCAGGGAGGTGGGTCAGCTAAACCTCCACAGTTGATGGC